ATACCAAAGTAGCATCTACACTTTTGATTTGAGTGTAGAATATTAAAATCCAACAACTATACAAAGCATTGCCACATTTTTTCCTGTCATGCTTATTTGGAAAACTGACTGATTTACTAGTATGTGGTCCTACTGTATTAAGAGTGAGTTTGTTGTAAACACAGCAGCTTTGTAAGTTGTAATTACAATGTTTTTTCTGCAGGCTGTTGGCACCTTGGTCAAAGGCAAGCTCCTGTGTGCCTCTAGGACTCCCTCTCATGTAAATTAGGCCCTCTTTCCTTGCCAAAGCAATCATGACATTGCACTGGTGCAATGCTAGGTCTGCAAATAAGCCATGTCAGAAGCACACACACAAACACACACACACACACACAAGACACCGGATGTAACCCTCTTGAATTCTCTCTCTCAGCAAACTGCAGAGCCGTACCAGTTGGCATCTTTAGAATTTGGTTTGAAGTTGTAGAGTATTTTACTTTTGTTGTCAAATTGCTTTGCAAATGAGGCCCATCCTGGCACTGTTTCAAAGCGCTCGTGCTATATGTGCAGCTTCCTTCAGGCACTAGTTTCTGAACCTTCATCACTCTGTATGCATATGCACAGTACTGCACTAAGCTCACATGGAAGTCTAGATAAACATGCCAAAATGGAAGTAAGATGGAAGGCAGCATGCTTATGTCTTGTCAGCTTGTCTGTATGTTGTTTCTGTGTTCCTCAGCTTGACTGACGTGGTCTATCTAATAACATGGCAGGTAGACAGTATGAAAGCCTTGTAGGTTTCTACCCATTAAAATGATATTCAATCATTTTTTGATGGGCTTTTCTTGCCCGAAACCACGCCTTATTATGATGCGAGGTTTGAGTGCCATTCACATTGAAATGTTGGTTGAAGCCACATCAAAATAATTGTTTTGATATGTCCCGTTTTTGTCTTGGCAATGACAATAATAGGGGGTGATCGCACAATGAGGATAAAGAAAATTTTTTGAGGTATATTGACTAAATTTGAGCCACGGCTCCCCTGGCACACAATTACAGGGTTTTAGTCTGGGCATCATAGAAAAGGCATTGCTTTCCGATACAAGTGTTGCACATATTGCGTGTCCCTTTGATTGCATGTCCAAGTCATCCACTAAATAATAATAATGTGGGGATTGAAACACTGCAAAATAGCCCAAGGCTCAGAAATTGCTAATGAACAGCAGCGGGGTGCAGTTGGGGGTGCGGTAGGGGGTTGAGGCATCTGAAACCTTACTTCCTGTTTCAAAGGCAAATAATCTATGGTCGCTCTCTTTATACTCAAAACATATGTGTCATTGCCTCCAAAGGAGCAAAACATTAAACGCACGAGTGGTTCAGAGTGTGGTGAGAGGAAGTATGCAGGACGTCATGAAAACAATTTTGGGCAAACATAAATACTCATCGTATTCTTACATGTCATAAACGTGCTAATCAAACTTCAACACAAGGCAGCTTTATCTTTCACAGCACTTGCTTGTGCAGGATTACCTCTGATAAGCAGTGTGAGCATGATCTCCCTCATCACAAGATTACAAATATATGTGTTTTACGCTTGTTACACTCTCTTCTTTCACTGCCTGTCAAGAGCTCTTCTCACACTGCAGAGAACCATCAACCAAGGGGAAATCCATGGAGAGGGATAGAGACAGAAGGAAAGAAAAAGAGAATATATTTGGTGTTATGTGCTGCAGATCAAAAACATGGCAGTCACATGATCAAAGGCATTTGATAATCCTTGAACTACATTGCTCCTTTAATCCTAGTGAGAGAACTATATTTTATTGGGAGGGGCCGTGGGGGTGGGGCGGGGGTGGGGGGTGGGGGGGCAACAATGTCAGGGTGGCGAACATGGCTAGAAAAGCAGTAACTAGCTGCTGGAAATGCAGTTAACTAAATGTAGCATGGCAGTTTTGAGGGAGCCGCAGAACGACGACAGCATAAAGCCTCCTTATGTGCGGTGAGAATGGAGGCTGAGCTGATGGGAGTAGAAACACAAATGTGCCACAAGTCCCTGTCCACTCAGCACTGAATAGTGCTCTTGTTCTTTTCATGGGGCTTGTTGGGGAAGTTGGCTTGTTGAATGTGACCAGACTGCTATATACTACATCTGGCACATAGAAACAGAGGGTGAGTTACACAGGGTTTAGGGCTAATATTTCTTTGTCTTGAGCTGCCTCACCTAAATATGCATTAAGACTTAAGACTAATCAAGACTTGGACAATTTATAGGCTTGAATTGGTCTCAAGTGAGGGTAAGAGTTACTCTGAAGGAATACAAACCTGAGACACAGCAGAAATGACCCTTGCTAAATCAGCATGTCTCCAAGAAATCAGACAAAGAAACATCATGTTTCAGTTATCTTTCCGTTTCTTCAGAAAATAAATTTAGTTATACATCATACCATTGTGCTCTCTGGGCCTCATCAAATTACAATAACCACCCCGAGCACTCTGAAAAGGCAAAACCATCAATATGTAGTGTAATCCAAGTCCCTCTGTTGCAAGCCTTGTCAATAGTGTTTCCCTATCAGATGCAAAATGTCCCAGACCAAAGGTGAGTTGAAAAATGACAGATTTTTTTTCCTCCCATGTTTTCCTATTTATGATTTCTCTCCTGCTTACACCGTCATCATCACATTCGTGTCTCCTGTAAAAGCACTGAGCGTGAGTTATTGCTCATAAAGCTGCATTGTTTCCGTTCTGATGAAAAATTAATGATTAATAATTACCTTTTACATGTGTGACTTACACTGGAGCTGTGTGACAAAGAGACATGACATAAATGAAATGTGATGTTTTGTTCTGCTCAAAGAATAAAATGAGATTGTAATGGAAAAAAAAAACAAAACAGCAACAGCAAAAAAAAACAAAAAAACCAGCAGTGATTATAGCCAGAGGAGATCTTGCTATGTGTTTGTGTTTGTGTTTGTGTGTGTGTCCAAGAAAGGGAAGGAGATTTAGATTATCTATGGTTGGTATCAAGCTTGAACAGGCCCCTTTATTTATATGAGCTAAAGCACTGAATCCAAGCAGCTTTTTAGCAACACATTATATTTGTGTTTGAGAATATTGCTTCTTCCACATTGTTTGTTTTTTCAAATTAAAGCGGTTGTTGATTATGGAATACACACTCTGTTGTTTATTCGCAATTTTAAACAGACTTTAAACAAATCTCTTAAGAAAACAACACATTTTCTTAGTAATTTCATCATATTTGGCATCTGATTTTGTTCAATGATTACTCACAAGGTTTTGACCTTTTCCTTTTTTTTCTAATATCTCCTCAAACTATTCTAGAGTGGCTGGAAGCTATAAAGTTAACTTAAGTTTGCACTGGATTATTGCTACTTGATTAGGACAGAATCATCTGCATAATGATATTGTTAATAGTACACATATGATGTTATCATGATGGCATCTTGGATGGATGAATATTCTGTTTATTAGTTTCTCTAGTACTTCTCCAACCTCTATTATCAGTGAATCCCAGTTGTTTTTGTCAGCCGTTTAAAAAGCAATCTGCTGGAAAATGGTGACTTCAGAGATGACTTTTGGTGGTGATCTTCATTCCTATCTTGGTTCTTTACAAAATCAATCCACCTCTTCCTGCCTCCACCATCTTTCTGCAATTTAAATAGGAACAAAGTGCTGTTGGTATTCTGGCAAGACAAAAAAATGCTCATTTTCTATAGATATCGCACTAATATCGTTATTGTTATTGAATTATTTTGGCCAGCATAATTGTGCAGTGAAAATCTGATATCGTGACTAGTCACAAATTTGGAGGCATGGTTTGGAATCAAGGCCACGCTGTTCAACCATCAACATGCATGCATTTTAGTGCAAAAAAAAAAAAGAAATCCTGCTCTCATCCCCAGAGAAAATAACTCATGTTTATTTGTCACATCAATTAAGATATCATGGTCATATAACATTCTCAATCTGTAGGGAAAATTTTATCTACTAATTCCATCGTCCCAGAAAGACCCATTTATTCATTTATATTTCATGACGTGGTGTTTATGCTGCACTGAAAGCCCCATGACTGTTTTTTTTTTTTTTCCTCTCAGTTGCCTTGGCCAGTGAGGTGTCCTCCTTCTGTGTTGCAATGAAATATAGATGTTAAGAGTCTGGAGAGTTGAGTGTCTCATCTGTCCTGGTGATACCATAAGGCAGCCATTAATAGTGTCAGGGAGCATCAGACATACCACAGGCACATAATTGGATATGAGGACATAACTGAAAGCACCTGCTTGGAAATCAACAGGGCCTTCCCAGGAGGCAGGCCCTTGGTAGATTCCTAAAGATTTTTGCAGAGCCTATCCACTTCCCCGCTGGGTTTACCTCACCCATTGCTCTTTTCATTTCTCACTGAGGTCAACTCAAGATGGCTTCTTGTTTTCTTTTTTTTACGGTGGCATTGTGAGTATGCAAATACTTTGGATCTTTGCATAATCACAAGCAGCGGGACCATCTGTTGTTGGCTTGTTGACTTACCTTGTGTCTGCTTTTTAATGGTGTTTTCTTGTGTCTGAGTGATGTATTGGTGTATTAACAATGTGATAATCATTTAACCTCAAAAAATGCATCCGGGCGTGTATGCAAAAGTCTGAACATATGTTCAGTGAAATTTTCTGACAAAGAAGGATTTATAATCTTTGTGGAGGGATAGAAAGAAAGAAAAAAAAAACTGGAAAACAAAACAAAATACATCACTGTGCCCACTCACATGATGTAGGATAAGATGATATTGTCAAGATAAAGATTTAAAATATGGACTGTCAACAAAAGCTGCGGTCTTGGATTAGTGGGCAGCAAAGACATGCTTGTTGATTGAGAGTCGCTTAACCCATCTAAAATATATTGCAAAAATGCTAATGGCAAGGACCAGGAAATAAGCTGCAACTTCTGTCACTGAAGATTTGCTGGGAGATGCCCTCTACTGAAAACATGTCCCTGATAATGTGTTTTCCTTGTAGAATCTGAGCCAGACACCGGAGAAGTCTTTTAACTCGCCGCCCCCCATTTGTCCTCATAAGGTAAGCTCCAGCTGGCTTTCAAGCAAGGGACAAACAACACTGTGGGAAATAATTGCAGATATTTTAAGCTTTTATTGGTCTTATTAGTTTTGGTTTGCATGTCTATTTACATTGCACATTTGTAAATCAGCTCTATAAGACCCTTCTTATGTTTTCACATATCTGATGATCTGCTCACCATACGCCTTTGACAAGACGTTTTGCCAGAGAACGTGCAAATGAATTTATTCATTTATGAATGTTTCTTTCTGTCTGCATTCCATTATGATTCAACATTCATCTGACATGAGGCGAGAAGGGCAGATTTATTCAATGCTAATTAGTCCTGTACATGCACAGCAAAAGTCATCACATTCACTGTGATGGTCTCAAGTCACCGCCACACACTGACTGAAGTTACTTTCCCCTTCAACTCCTCCTCTGGTGCATGCCTTTTACAAATGTGATAATGTGCTATGTAGTGAAATTCACACAATTTCAGTTCACTTAGCACCAAACGTGTCAAAATTGCCTGTGTCCTTTTCTGGATGAATGGCCGGTATGGTGGAGAGTGGCTTATTGCAAGAGTGGACCTTGGTAAAAAAAAAAAAAAAAAAAGGAGCCCAATGGAGGCAAGCTGTCTGACAGCCTGTCATCAACATGTTCAAAGCATAACACCGCTCTACATCGCTAATGCACCGCTAGCTGTCTACAATGACTTTGGTGGCATTGAAAGCTGCAGACGGTGGTAGAACGGTAAATAATAATAAAATATGATACCCCTTCCACCCATGTCTATCACAGGGAAATCACAAGGAAGGCAATCGACTTTTCTTTGGAAGTTTGTCAATGCAAAAATAACACTGAATGTCCTTCAATGAACCTTTCATATTTTGGAGGCTCTTGCTGAGAAATTACAGTCTGACACAGTCTCGTGCAGGATAGGATGTTGCAGAAGTTTTAGTACAAGTACACCTCTCTTCCTGTAGCGCTACCGATTACACCTGTCTATGTCTTGTAATTTCTGGCCGCCACATTTCCTCTCTCTCTCTCTCTCTCTCTTTCTGATTTGCTCTCTTTCCATTTTTACACAGCTGATCGGGGCTGATGTAATGGGGGAACACCGTGGGTTTGCGGATAGTGTTATTCACGTTTTAGCTGTTAGCAGCGGAACATAATCTCCCTCTAGTCAGCTCACATTAGTCTCCATGATCCGCACTAGCCCAGTATGTGCAGCGAATGCAATGGGCCAGCTGGGGTAATTTGGTATGTCAGTCAGCTCAGGAGGCTGGTAAAATGAGTAAATGACTGGATATGATTTGTATGAAAAGAATATTCTGATTATGGCTCTCAGAATAGAATATCCTCTGTCTTTTTACACTTCTCTTCATCTGCATTGTGTGCATCCCCCAGACAGATAGTGAAATGAACAGAGGGCTTTTAAACTGACTGCTCTGTGATTATATTAAGAGTGTGAGAGCGAGGAAAGAGAGGGGAGGGAGGAGATCGGGTGCCCAAGCACTAAGTATATATAATTGCTTCTTGACACATTGGCCAAATTCTGCAGTGCCAGGATCTGAGCGAAGATGATTAACGGCTGTCCGAGTGGGTGGGCACTGCAGGTCGTTCTGGGGCCTTTGGTTTCCATAGCGATCCTAGTCTAAAGGCCATATATTGCATACTGAAAAATCCCAGAGGTCCACACATTGTTAAACTACAATTATAACTCACATCGAGAGCATTGTCTGTCCACCGCGAACTCTCTTATTCATCCGACAAGCAGCTTTTCTCTCTTTTCCCTTATTTCTCATCTATTTTTTTTCTTAAATGGTCTCCTCTAGCTGGCAAGAAGATAAAGGGTGAAAATCTTGCATTCTGTGAATAATTGATGAGTGTGCTCACCTCAGAGCATCATTACAGTACGGCAGTCAGGGTAAGAGGTGAGGGTAAGATCATATTTCTGACACTAGGCTTCAGGCGGTAGAAAATTGTGTCAGTTTTTCACAAGGTTTTCATCTGCATATACAACATGAATAACAGTATCTCATTATAGCACAACGGGATAGGAATAAAATGTGACCAGGGATGTGCATGTACATACATGTTTCTGTACATAAACTGTAGAATCACATTTGAAACACAGGTGGTAAACAGAAATTTCTTAGATATCCCTGTTAAGCACATTTATTTTTTCTCCTGTCTTCTGTGTAGAAAACAAAAATGTTAAATAGTTGGTCGTGAGCTCTTTCCAACTGGAGCAAGCTGATGGCCTTCTGGCTATTACGATTGTGTCTGTATGTGTGTAAGAATGTGCGCGCATGCATGCATGTATGTGTCTGTGTGAACAGTGCAATCTAGTTAGGTGACAGATGGAGAGGGCAAGGGATGGGGGTGGGGATCAAGCACCTCTGACAGTATGGGGCCTGCACTGCACCCTGTTCCTGCTAGGTCTGAAATTGCTAAGGTAAACTAAAACCGTGCAACTGCGGGATGCCATTTCACAACTTTATTTTCCACTGAAAATGAGAACCTCTCCAGTGAAATGTTACACTAACAATGTAAAAGTTGAGTGATGAAAATGCTAGACAGGCACCTTGCTTCTCGAAGCAGACTTTATCCTGCGAAGTTTCCACTAGAATACAAATGTAAACACACTGATTGCCACAGATAAAACGCTTAAGAGATCCTGTGTGCAGCAGCATTTTTTAAGCCAAGGAAAGGCCACTGAATAAGCACATCTTAATGATGATTCACTCTGTATAATAAAAGAAAATCCCTCTGGCATCCAAACAAGAGGCTAGTCATGCAGCAATTAAGCTTAGTTAAAGGCATCAAGCAGACTATGGGTGGTTGGTGAGGCATCTTCCTCAACATGTACATCCACATGCACGTCCTTGCACACGCAAGCGCACAGACGCACACATTCACTCACTCAACCCCTCTCACATACACACACACACAATTTATTTGAGGTAAATGTGATCTCAGAAGACAAGCAGCAACAACCCACGGCTCCATCAGGGTGCCTGCGGTTGCATTGGTGGCCATCGTCAAACAAATAATGCTTTGTGACTGAAAAAAAGACAATCCAAAAGGTCATTTGTGACCTCTGGGACCAGTACTGTGCAGCATCTGTCACTAGCAAGCAGCACATGTCTGTGTCAAATGGCAAAAGGTATGCGGTGCAGCCAGCCTGCCGTGTAATAAAGGCAGTAGGCCTATATATACGTAGCATCACTGTCACCGTGGCATCGACAGGGCTCCGCAGTGGGCTGGCTTATCTGCAGAACGTCCAACATGCCATATTATATACATGAGTGGCTGGATGACTTGAGGGGCTGGTCACAGCATGGCTAACGTTATGTCTGCTCTTTAAATATGAACACTTTTTTTAGGTCACACGTGGAATGCTGTATGTATAAATATGATTGGATTCACATTTATCCCCATTGTATTTAATCTCATTGAGGAGTATGTCTAACTGCTTCACAAAGTACCTTTGGATGACATAATCAAACCTTCAGATTTATGACTGACATCAGTGATTAAAGACATTACATTTCTCAGATGTAGTAAGCATTCATCATATCCATTCATTCATATCAATGTGCTTTCTCATGCAGTGCTCTTCCTCTAATGCTTTATGAGGTTGAGGTAATCCTCACGGGAATCACCAACAATCGGCAACCTTCATGTTTGATGTTATCTCCCTTGTCACACGATTTCCACAATAAGGGTTAATGGCATAAAAAATTCAGGGGAAATTGATGAAGGAATATATAATCCATGCTCCCTCTCAGCCAACTTGCCATGCTCATATGTCTGCAGCAGACCACACCTCCATGTGGAACAAATCAATAATATTCCATTTCTAACCAAATTCCTCTTTTTGAATGGTGAAATCCAATCTTTATGGACACACTAACAAATTGGATATAGTGACAGCTGCATTAGAAACAGAAACAGAAACACAGAGAGGTGTGTAGAAATTGCATATTGAATGAATACTCTCAAAGTCTCTATGAATTCTCTCAAAGTGCAAATGAGGCAGAGTTCAGTGTATTTCCCAGATCTCCTGAATGTATTCTGTCTCTCTCACGCTCTCTCGCTCTCTCTCTCCCTCTCTCGTGCTGGCTGTCCTTCCCTCTCTCTTGCCACAGCCTATCTCCCCCCTTCATCCAGCTAAACCAATCAGGGATTTGAAGGCCTCACTTCCAATCAATTACCACCCAAATCAGTGCAGAGGCCTTTGATATAGAATCATTTGTCAAATCAGTGCAGATGGCTAGGGGCAGGTACCCCTGTGCCATAGGCCATATCCACGTGGAAATCTCTGCTCAGGGTGGGCTCTCCTGACGCTCCCCAACCTATTAATGGGAAGTCATTGTGTGCTCCAGGACTGCAGTCCAGCTGCCTGGTCCCCTAGATTGCTAATGTATAAGCATCTTAGCCTGACCAGTGGATAATACCAAGTCCCAGAGTCTACCATAATGATATGGACTATTTTTAAGGCAGGCAAAATCTTACTTGAGGTGTTCATATGGATTGCACAAAGGCTGCAGGAAGTGCACTCAAAGTGCTTTTAAAATGCAACCTGCTGTAACAAAATATACTTTAGTACCAGAGGTGTAACAATTCTGGAACCGAGACCAAACTCGGAGTAGAAACGTACACAACGTCATGTCGCGACACCAGGGTAAAAAATCAAGAGTGACGGTTACAACTAAAAGTTCTGACAGTAAGACCAGAGGAACAGCATAGTAACGATGTGTGAATTCAGTTATTTACAGTATAATTAATGAAATGCCATTGCAGAGATCTGAATAAATAGACATTCATTCAAATAAAATCATCATCATATCAAGGAAGGGGACATATTTAATGAAAGATTAGAGTGCAAATAATGATAGCAGAGTGACAGATGTAACATAAATGAAGGGAATGTAGGTGATATTGTCAACAACTGTGTACCATGAGATGAAAAAGATACAAAACAATTTTAAAAATCCACAAAAAAAACA